CATCAAGCAAGGTTTCATGTTTTTCTGATCATTTTTAAAAAATTTGGAATAAAAATGCCATGGCACTCCATGCATGTACATGTGTCCATGCTGTGAGACCAATATGTTTGAAAATTCCTACTCATTTATTGCATATGGAATTAGCTTGCACACAAGTACATAAATATGATTTTTCAAACCGTTATGGTTAGCCGTTGCATGTACATCTAGTTCAAAATTGAATTACGGTCATTAAATGGCTAGAAAATCACTTAAATGTCTTTAAAATGTCAAATGACCCCTGAAATTTTCCAATTTTTCACATGACAGTTTGTATCAGTGCACATTACACGTAGAAAAATTTTGAAGGCCGTAAGAGGAAGCTATCTATCGTTCGTCATTAAACATGCATTGTTCCCTCTCGGAACCATGAGCCTTCTAGTGAGTTGCTCCAGTTTGTTAGGGGTGTGTGTCCAAACTTTCATCAAACATGGCAATTTTTGTACCACATCATCTTGGTGGCATGACATTACATCAAGCAAAGTTTCATGTTTTCCTGATCATTTTTTATTTTTTTGGAATTAAAATGACATGTCACTCCATGCATGTGTCCATGACGTGAGATCAATATGTTTGAAAATTCCTTCTAATTTACCACATATGGAATTAACTCGCACTGCAAGTACACAAACATGATTTTTTAAACCGTTATGGTTAGCCGTTGCATGTACATCTAGTTCAAATTTGAATTACGGTCATTAAATGGCTAGAAAATCACTTAAATGTCTATAAAAGGTCAAATGACCCCTGAAATTTTCCAAATTTTCACATGACAGTTAGTATCAGTGCACATTACACATAAGGCTATAAGAGGAAGCTATCTGCCGTTCATCATCAAACATTCATTGTTCCCTCTTGGAACCACGAGCCTTCTAGTGAGTTGCTCCGGTTTATGAGGGGTGTGTGTCCAAACTTTCGTCAAACAGGCCAATTTTTGTACCGCATCATCTTGGTGGTATGACATTACACCAAGCAAGGTTTCATGTTTTTAATTTTTTGGAATTTAAATGACATGGCACTCCATGCTTAATTGTGTCATAGCCGTTAGACCAATATGTTTGAAAATTCCTTCCAATTTACTGCACATGAAATTAAATCACACACAAGTACACAAAATATGACTTTTCAAACCGTTTTGGTTAGCTGCTTGATGTACATGTAGTTCAAGTTTCAATTACGGTCATTAAATGGCTAGAAAATCACTTAAATGTCCTAAAAGGTCAAATGACCCCTGAAATTTTCCAAAATTTGACATGATAGTTGTATTAGTACTACAAATTTTATCATACATTTAAAACACCATTCGTTGCCACTTTACTCCAAATTCGTCTTTCACAGCTAATAAAAAATATCTACAACATCACACACAGTTGTTTTGTAGGAATCATTTGCGATGAAAAATTCTGGGTCTATTTAAGTCTTCCTCCTAAAGCTTCGCCGACTCATCTGCTCCAGTGCCGGCAACCCCCGAATCCACAAATATAGGTCCCCATTCCCGCACCCCCTTCTTGCAAAAATGATGTTGTGGAAACACTTCGTGAAGGCCTGTCCGATGGCCGCCCCCCCCCCCGAGCGTCGCCGCCTGTGCCGAGAGCGCGGCCGCCTATGCCGAGAGTGCTGCCGCATCCGCATTGAGCATGGCTGCTTCCGTCGATAGGGCCTCTGTGGCACCCGACAGGGAAGCTGCAGCAACGGCGACTGCAAAGGCCGAGAGCGCTCGAGCTGCTGTCCATGCCGCCGATGTCGCCCTAGCCCGGGTCGACACCATTGATACGTCTCCGTCGTATCTACTTTTCCAAACACTTTTGCCCTTGTTTTGGACTCTAATTTGCATGATTTGAATGGAACTAACCCGGACTGTCGTTGTTTTCAGCAGAACTACCATGGTGTTATTTTTGTGCAGAAATAAATGTTCTCGGAATGTCCTGAAAATCCACGGAGATAACTTTTGGAAAATATAAAAAATACTGGCGAAAGAATCAAGGCCAGGGGGGCCACACCCTATCCACGAGGGTGGGGAGCGCGCCCCCTCCCCCTGGGCACGCCCCCTATCTTGTGGGCCCCCTGATGCTCCACCGACCTCAACTCCAACTCTATATATTCCGTTTCGCGGAGAAAAAAAATCAGAGATAAAGTTTCATAGCGTTTTATGATACGGAGCAGCCGCCAAGCCCTAATCTCTCTCAGGAGGGCTGACCTGGAGTCCGTTCGTGGCTCCAGAGAGGGGGATTCGTCGCCGTTGTCATCATCAACCATCCTCTATCACCAATTTCATGATACTCACCGCCGTGCGTGAGTAATTCCATCGTAGGCTTGCTGGACGGTGATGGGTTGGATGAGATTTACCATGTAATCAAGTTAGTTTTGTTAGGGTTTGATCCCTAGTATCCACTATGTTCTGAGATTGATTTTGTTATGACTTTGCTATGCTTAATGCTTGTCACTAGGGCCCGAGTGCCATGATTTCAGATCTGAACCTATTATGTTTTCATGAATATATGTGAGTTCTTGATCCTATCTTGCAAGTCTATAGTCACCTATTATGTTTTATGATCCGACAACCCCGAAGTGAGAATAATCAAGATACTTCTCGATGATGACCGTAGTTTGAGGAGTTCATGTATTCACTATGTGTTAATGCTTTGGTCCGGTACTCTATTAAAAGGAGGCCTTAATATCACTTAGTTTCGGTTAGGACCCCGCTGCCATGGGAGGGTAGGACAAAAGATGTCATGCAAGTTCTTTTCCATAAGCACGTATGACTATATTCGAAATACATGCCTACATTACATTGATGAACTGGAGCTAGTTTTGTGTCACCCTATGTTATAACTATTACATGATGAATTGCATCCGACATAATTATCCATCACTGATCCAATGCCTACAAGGTTTTCACATATTGTGCTTTGCTTATTTACTTTACCATTGCTACTGTTACAATTACTACAAAACTGCTATCATTACTTTTGCCACTGTTACCATTACTGTCATACTACTTTGCTACTAAATACTTTGCTGCAGATACTAAGTTATCCAGGTGTGGTTGAATTGACAACTCAACTGCTAATACTTGAGAATATTCTTTGGCTCCCCTTGTGTCGAATCAATAAATTTGGGTTGAATACTCTACCCTCGAAAACTGTTGCGGTCCCCTATACTTGTGGGTTATCAAGACTATTTTCTGGCGCCGTTGCCGGGGAGCATTGCTCTATTCTTTGAGTCACTTGGGATTTATATCTGCTGATCACTATGAAGAACTTGAAAGATCAAAGAACTAAAATTTATCCCTCAATGACGAGGGGAAGTAAGGAACTGCCATCTAGCTTTGCACTTGATTCTCCTTCTGTTATCAGTAAATTTGCGACACCTAAACCTGCTTCTGCTATTAATTCTGATATGTCGCATGTTATTGATGATGTCACTTCTGATATGCATGATACTTGTGATGAAACTACTTCTATGCTTGATCACTGTTTGGGATATCGCTTATCGTTATCGTCTCGGTCGGCTGGGGATTAGAGATTAATCAGAAATCGGCCGATTAATCGATTTTATCGGCCGACTATTAATCGGCAAGTTTTTTCCGCAAGACCTACGTTTTCAGGCACTATTAAGGCAAAATTGGAAATAATCAAAAAGTGTGTTATCTAAGTCTTTAAGACTACATCAATATATAACAACAGCACATGTCATGTTTCTGCATATTTGAAATTCAAATATGACAAGAGTACATAGATACTACTACAAGTCTACAATATTACACAACAAAAATTGGACAGAACTTCAACATCACATATTTTGTTTCAAATAGGACAGCACTTCAACAACACCTAAGTAAATAACAAGCAACAATAGGCAGAACAGCAATACATAACTACATATATGAGTGCATAAATAAAGTACAGCCATCTCAACATCATGTGTACACAAGATTGCAGTTGGTAGTCTCAGTCACCACTCACCAGTCCAAAAATAAACTTAGATAGTACTCCACAAATAAATTTGGATACTGGATAGGCAGCACAACAAGTCCAGAATACACAAATAAGCTTAGTTCTTAGTCTTACAGTCTTACACTCTAAGTCTCTTACTCACTAGTTACTACTTTGCTTGCAAACAGCCAAACACCAATCAACCAAACTAAGGTAGTTCTCTCATAAGTCACAAGTCACAACCAAAATAAGGCCGTAGGCTTCTAGCAAGCAACACACAGTACTAGGAATGAGATTGTTAAAAGGCCTAGGGTTCAAGGCTGCATCAGGTCTTCCTCATCATTTTCTTCTATCCCCCCAACCATGTCATCATCAGACTCAAACTCAATCTCATCTTCATTGATAGGCACAGTGTCATCTTCATTGTCGGAAACAAAGTCTTAAACTTCATGGAGCTCTCTCATCTGGATCAATCATCGTAGCAAACTCCCATGCCATGTCATCCGAGTTTTTCTTCAGTCTGGAACTTGCAACCTCAGAAGCACTAGAAGCAGCCATCTACAAAAAGGGCAACAACATGTATGAGAATCAGACTAATAAAAGGGAAACTTATTCTGTATATGATTGATGGTTCTTATTCTGTACATAAAAGAAAAGGGAAACAACATAGAAGGCAACTTATTTTGTACATGATTCTGCACTATTGTAATTCTATAGTTGATTCTGCTAAACTCAAAACTAACTGAATTCTACCACTGGTGACTGAATGACTAAAGGGTAACAACAACTAGTAGTAGTCACTAGTCAGTAGCTGCAGACCTGTAGTTAAACTCAAAAAATGACTGATTTTATCACTACTAGTAGGCAGTTTTAGCTGAAGAAATGACAATTTGCTTACAACTACAGTTATTGACTGAAGAAATGACAGTAGCTGGCACTCATTTTTATCGATAGAAGAAATGGCAGTGTGAAAAAGAAAAAATACCAGGAGAGGATGGAGCTATTCGTCTTGCTGCTAGAGAAGGGATGGCGTGCCTAGCAACTCTAGCTAATGCCGTTCGTCGGAGTAGGAAGCGGAGGATGGAGCCGCTCTACTGCTGCTGGAGGAAGGGTGGCGGCAGCGAGCAACACCCGCCGTCGATGATGGAGATGTCTCTGGTGCTGCATGAGGAAGTGTGGCGCAGCTCCGGTGTTGGTCGAGGAAGAGGGATGCGGCTCTCGTTCTGCCGTAGCAAGGTACAACGACGGGAAGTAGATCCAGCCGTCGGTGATGCGAGTTGCAGAGGAGTCGCGATGGCGATGCAGGAGTTGGAGATGGTGCTGCCGAGCTGCTAGTTGTGGCCCCGTTGGAGAGGAGAGGTGGATCTAGAGGCCGCCTGGCTCGGGTGGTGCTAGCTAGGGCCGCCGGAGGCGAGCAGGGTGAAGCGGCGTGGTGAATCTTGCATTGCGGGGCGGTGGGGAGGCAGAAACCCTAATTCAGCGGGGAAATACCAATGATGTGCTGCGGGTGTGCGGGAAGGCCACCGAAGGCGCCTTAGGAGAGCCAAAATTTAGCCTTTTGGGCTTTCTGACATTAGGGGCCTAGCCCGATTAATCGGGAATCTAACGATTTATCGCCTGTTAGAGCGATGAATCGGTCCAAACGATAAATATCAAAGATAAGGCCTAAACTTAGCGGTCACCACACGATAAGCGATAAATCGGCCGATAAATCATTGAGTCGGCTGATCTCTTAAATAGTGTGCTTGATACTACTGTGCCATTAGGTGAATTTCTTGATGAACAACTTGCTAGGGCTAGGGAGAATGAAATTATTGAAACTGATAATATTGATGATAGTGATGATGAAGGTTCTCCCCCTAAATATGAATTGCCTGTTGTTCCTGAGGGTTACGTTACGGATGAAGAAACTGCTAGAGATTTTCTTGCTTGCAATGATAGATCAGCTCTTAAGAAATTACTAGCTAAGCTGAAACAAAAGACTCTGAATGCTAGAATGAAACATGACCCTGCTTTTGCTACTTCACCTATCTTTGTTACTAATAAGGAGTATGAATTCTCTGTTGATCCTGAGATAATTACTTTAGTTGAATATGATCCTTTCTATGGCACTGAATCTGAAACCGTAGTGGCACATCTTACTAAGTTAAATGATATAACCACCCTGTTTACTAATGATGAGAAATCTCGCTATTACTATATCCTTAAGATATTCCCTTTCTCACTAAAGGGTGATGCTAAGACATGGTTTAATTCTCCTAATCCTGGTTGTGTGCGTAGTCCCCAGGATATGATTTACTACTTCTCTGCTAAATATTTCCCTGCTCATAAGAAACAAGCTGCCTTGAGGGAAATATATAATTTTGTGCAAATCAAAGAAGAGAGTCTCCCACAAGCTTGGGGGAGGCTTCTCTGATTACTTAATGCATTGCCTCATCATCCTCTTAAGAAAAATGAAATACTTGATATCTTTTATGGACTAACCGATGCTTCCAAGGACCACTTGGATAGTTGTGCTGGTTGTGTTTTCAGGGAAAGAACAGTCGACCAAGCTGAATTGTTCTTGAATAATATGTTGACTAATGAAAATAATTGGACTCTTCCTGAGCCAATTCCTGAGCCAATTGAGTCAACTCCCGAGCCTATTCCTAAACCAACTCCGAAGAAGAGGGGTGTTCTATTTCTCAGTCGTGAAGATATGCAAGAGGCAAAGAAATCAATGAAAGAAAAAGGTATTAAAGCTGAAGATGGTAAGAATTTACCTCCTATTGAAGAAATACATGGTCTTAATATGCCGCCTGTTAAAGAAACACATTGTGTTGATAACCCGACATAGGTAGTGAAGGTAAATTCTCTCTACAAATATAATAAAGTGGAAATCCTGTCTACTAACTTCCATAGCCAATGTTTGGATGAATTTGATGACTTTATGGATAAACAAGCAAATTTCAATGATTATGTTAGTAGACAGTTGAAAAATAATGCTTATATGATTGGACGCTTGAGTGATTATATGTCTAGAGTTAAGGGTGAACTTAAACTCACTAGTAAACATGTTTCTATGGTCACTACTCAAACCGAGCAAGTACTTAAGGCTCAGAATGAATTGCTTGATGCATTAAATAATAAACATGATTTTGCTGTTGGACTGGCTACTAGAACTGGTAAAATGAATCAGGAACCTTTGTATCCTGAAGGCCACCCTAAGAGAATTGAACAAGATTCTCAGAAAAACAATTTAGATGCTCCTAGTCCTTCTAAAAAGAAGAAAAAGAAAGATGATAGGACTTTGCATGCTTCTAGTGAACCTATTGCAGAAACACCTGAGAATCCTAATGATATTTCTATCTCTGATGCTGAAACACAATCTGGAGATGAACATGAACCTAATGATAATGCTAATGATGATGTCCATGTAGATGCTCAACCTAGAAATAACAACGATATAGAAATTGAACCTGCTATTGATCTTGATAACCCACAATCAAGAAATCAACATTGTGATAAAAGAGACTTTGTTGCCAGGAAGCACGGTAAAGAAAGAGAACCATGGGTTCAAAAACTCATGCCCTTTCCTCCTAAACCATCCAAAACAAAGGATGATGAGGATTCTGAGCGCTTTGCTGAAATGATTAGACCTATCTTCTTACGTATGCGCTTAACCGATATGCTTAAAACAAACCCTTATGCTAAATACATGAAAGATATCATTACAAATAAAAGAAAAATACCTGAAGCTGAAATCTCCACCATGCTTGCCAACTATACCTTGAAGGGTGGAATACCTAAGAAACTTGGTGATCCCGGAGTACCCACTATACCATGCTGCATCAAAAGAAATTATGTTAAAACTCCTTATGTGATTTAGGAGCTGGTGTTAGTGTTATGCCTCTTTCCTTATATCGTAGACTTGAATTAAGTAAGCTGACACCTACTGAGATATCTTTGCAAATGGCTGATAAATCAACTGCTATACCTGTCGGTATTTGTGAGGATGTGCCTGTTGTTGTTGCGAATGTTACTATCTTAACAGATTTTGTCCTTCTTGATATTCCTGAGGATGACAGTATGTCGATTATCCTTGGTAGACCCTTTTTAAATATTGCAGGTGCTGTTATTGATTGCAACAAAGGCAATGTCACCTATCATGTTAACGGAAATGAGCATACGGTACACTTTTCGAGGAAACAACCTCAAGTTCACAACATAAATTCTATTGGGAAATTCCATCGATAATTATTGGAGGTTTTGAATTTCCTCTTCCTACTACAAATAAAAAGTATGATATTCTTATTATTGGGGATGTTCATATCCCCGTTGAGGTAACCTAGTGTCACTTCGAAATTTCTCTGGTTTCATGTGATTCGGAATGAGTTTGTTAACAAGACTTGATCAACCTTGTTAGTGGATTCCTTTTGATGATCATGAGATGGATGAAACTAGAAGGCACCACCTTCTGTACCCTCTCTTTACTTCCTGTTAATTAGAATAATAGTAGAAATAGTATATTTTGCCTGTTTTCTGAATTACCAATGCAATAAAAAATATCTCGAAAATAAAAGTTCTCCAAATGCCATGCCAATTTAATATGGTTTTTTCTGGAATATTTGAGAATATTTGGCACTAAGAACACAATAGGGGGAGCAAGCACCTGGCCACGAGGGTCCAGGGCGCGCCCACCCCTACATGGCACACCTCCCTGCCTCGTGGGACCACGGTGGCTCCCCTCCACTTATTCCTGCACCCACAGACTCCATCTTCCTCCCAAAAAAATCCCCATCCAGCTCAAGCACAAGTTCTAGCTCATTTTGCTGCAATTTTTGATCTCCTTGCTCAAAGCTCCATTCACAAAACTGTTTTGGGAGATTGTTGCTTGGTATGTGACTCCTCCAATGATCCAATTAGTTTTTGTTCCAGTGCTTTATTCATTGCAAATTTTTGCTGCATAGGTGACCCTGTTCTTGAGCTTGCATGTCAAATTTATGAGGTCCCAAGTAATTCTAATGCATGATATAGGCTCTAGGCACTTATGGGAGTAGTTGCTATCAATCTTGTTTAGTTTGATTCACTTCTATTTTGAAGTTACTAAAAATTTCAGAAATTTTCAGAAAAAGATGAATAGGTTGTTCTTGAGGGGCTCTTCTAGCCAAAGCTCCAAGGATAAGCAAGCTAAGGAGAAAGAAAAGGCCAAGTATAATCTTCCTCGCGTAGCGGAAGTAAGGCCTTGTGCGTGGCCATGTGATAATTTCTTGAGAGAGGACGGGATTTATGAAGAATTTTATTCTTTGGCTGAAAATGCGGGCCTCACCGACTTCCTCCATGACCGGATCGAACAGTATCTCTTACTTACCAATACTTTCATGCAAAACTTTTATTATTATCCTAAGAATTCACCTCCTTCAGTATCTTTTCATTTATATGATGAGGCTAAGGAAATGTCATTACGTAATTTTTGCACGGTTTGTAGAATACCCTTTGAGGGTAGCTTAGATGAACCACATCGTAAAGATGTGGATGGTTTGACTGATACTATTACTGTTGGGGAATCGAAGAAGGGTTCCGATGCGAGAATCACTAGCATACACTTTCTTGTTTTACCCTACTTTGCCATATTTGCTAGTAGGTGCTTAATTGGTCGTGGAAATAGTGGAAACTTCAGTGTTCCTGATATTATTATTTTGCTCCATGCCTTATTATGTGATAAACTTTTAGTGTCGGTGCCGTTATTGCTAAACGGTTAAGCCTAAACCGTATAAAGGGCCCCATCTTTGGAGGTATCTATGCTGCACGCCTTGCTAAACATTTCGAGATACCTATTAGGCATGATGAGAAAGAGGAGACACTACTGCCTCTTACCTTTTTAGATTACATGAGCATGGTAGTGCATGAGTTTATTGTTGACAACGATGATAAGATGCTTCTGTATAACCTGAGATTTAATAAGAAACACAATGAGATTATTGCACTACCTGCACCTTCTTTGTTTGATTTAACTGCAGGTCATTACCTTGTCTTGCCGAAGCCAGTGTATGCGCATTGAGGCCAGACATCCGCTCCAGAGCCAGATCCGGAACCTCCACTGGACCCTTATCGTCCATCCTGTTATCAGTGGGATACGGAGGAGATCGCTAGCCAATGGCAGTACGATGACACTCCTCAGTATACCGGGGAGAGTAGCCGCGATCCTTGGGCATAGACCAACTTAGGCCAAAATCCTAAGCCTGGGGGAGTATGTA